TGTCTGGCCGAGCTCCAGCAGGCCTGGAGCCCCATGCCAAGGCTGCCCCTGCCCCTGGCGGGAACCCCGCGTGACTCAACAGACTTCGTGCCTTGTTCGTTTCTGAACCCCCTTGAGCTGCCATGTTCGTTATGCCACTGTCTACAGCCACCTTCTAACGAGTCTCTGGACAACCGCCTCATGTGGCCAGTAAACCGACGGGAGCGTTTTAGCTGCCAGTAACTTGGTGCTCGCTGCCTCCTCCTTCAGGGTTCCGGTTTGGGAAGGTGGGGGCGGCGGGGCTGACCACACACATGGCACCTGCCCACTGGTGACTGGGAGGGATAGTGGGGAGCCCCCAACTTTGGGTTCTACTTTTTGCCTCTTGCTCCCTCCTTCCAAGTGTGAGCCCCAAGAAAACCTTGTCCAGCAGCTCAGCCCGCCCCCTGGCTGGACAAGATCTGGCAGGAACAGTGAGGTCGGGGACACTATGTGGCCCTGGAACTCAGATGCAGTGACATGTACCTTGAGGCCCACCTGCGGCCAACCTCCCTGATGGGCAGCATCTTTCCTTCCTGCCCAGAAGAGTGTAGCCTTTTGACTTTAACACCAAAGAAACCCAAATAGATTTATTTTGTATACAGGGTATACCCACAGCCCTGTGGGGCCCACATGGTGCCAGGTTTAGGTCTCGGGAGGGAGTGGGGGGTCAGGCCGAGTGGACAAGAGAAGCGTGAGGGCTGATTGTGTCAGGTGGAGGAGGCAGAGCCTGCAGGGGAGGCCGTAACCTGCTGTCTGAAGGAGGCAGTCCCAGGGCAGTAGCCCGCTGTGACCTGCTTAGCCCCCATCCTTCTGTTGTCCTGGCAGGGGTTGGGGTGCGGGGGTTCACTTTTGTCTCAGTTTTTTGATGAAGGAGACTTCATCCCGATTCCGGATGCCGTAACTGAAAGAGAAGGAAAGGTGGGGTCTGACTGCAGTGACACCCACCTGGGCTGTGTGGGGAATAAAAAGGTTTGGGGGTAGAGGGGCAGGCAGAGTGAGGGTTTGATTCACGCTGCCTCACAGGAGGCCTTGCCCTCCTACTGGTTCTTGGTCCCTCCACCTGGCCCGGGCAGCCCACAGGACGCAGAGCCTCCCGCAGTGGCTTCGGGAGCCTGAGCCCTTGCCCGAATGCCCAAGAGTTCAGTGAAGCACTGAACGGCCGGCAGAGGGCAGGGACCAGCCCCTCTCACACTGTGGCCCAGGACGTACTCTCGGAGCTGCTTCGTGTCCTCTGTGAGCTTCTCTCCTGTGAAGGTCAGGTGGTAGGTTCTCCACACATAGGACCTGTGAGAGAGGGTATTGGGAAGCAGGGGGCGCTCTTCCTGCCTGGAGGTGCACACCAGCCACAGGCAGCTGCAGGCTGCACAGGAGCTTGTGCAGAAAAGCACTGGCTAGGAGGGAGGGCTGGGTTGGGTGGGTTCTGCTAAGCTGGGTTGCCTACGTCTAGGGAGACCACTTCCAGTCACGCCGGAAACACCCAGAGGTGCCCGGGAGAGACCATTTCAGCAGTGAAGGTGGGAGGCACAGAGGAGTGTGCTTAGAAGATGGATGTGTGCGGCAGACAGGTCCCGGCTTAGTCACAAGGCACTGGAGGCAGCTGCCTGCCCCACTCACCAGCTGATGTGCCGGATGCCGCCTTCTCGCTCCTGGCGGAGCTGCATGTATCTCTGAATGGCCTTCTTCAGGTCCAGGACCGTGGCATTCTGCACCACGACCACAGCTGCAGTCAGGGGCACAAGGGGGAAAGGATCCTGGGTCGGTGGGCACCTCAACTAGTCCGGACGCCCCCTGCAGCCCCCAGGGGGGCACTTGCTTACGCATGACCTCTCCGTCCATCTTGCACACGCGGACTGTCATGGCCTGGCCGTACTCCAGCGCTATCTGGGAGTTGACCTCTTCTAAAGTAACCTAGAAGAGACCACAGAAGCTTGCCGCTGTCCCCATCCCAAACGACCAGGAGCAAACACTGACAGGCCAAAACAGGGTCCCTGTGTTTTAGGAGCCCTCGTGGCCTGCTAACCCCAAGGTCTGCCTGTCTAAACCACCAGCAGCCCCATGGGAGGAAGATGAGGCTTTCAGAGGCACAGATGTACCCTGGCTTTTTTTTTTTTTAAGTCGCCATTAAGTCGGAATCCATTCCATAGTAGTACATTTTTGCATTTTTAGGGCGTGTGATTTAGGAAGTGCAAGGGCAGAGAGACCCACGTTAGGGCTCCTGGCTTCTCCGCACTCCGATCTCACATTGTACCCACACTTTGTGGTCCAACGTGGATTGACGTTCCAGGGCAACGGGGCACAAAGAAAGGCTGGAGGGGCGACCCGGCGTGTGCCCCACCCGGGGCGCCCACAGGGCCCGCCCTTCCCGGCCGCGCACCTGGATCGGCAGGTCGCAGAGCAGCGGGTCCTGCACCACCATGGCGAGCCCCTCCTGGAACACGTCCACCACCTCCGAGTGCGGCAGTGCCTCGTCGTCGTCCTCATCGTCCTCGGGCCGCGCCGCGGCCTCTGCCCGCTCCAGGTCCGCGTCCGCCGCCGGGCTCTGGGTCCGGGCAGTCGGCGAGAGGAGAGCGACGCGCTCTCGCCGGGAAACTGGTCCCCAGAGCGAATCCAGGCGGCCATTGGCGCTCCTGGGGGGCGGAGCGGCCGCCATGGCCAATGAGAAGAGCGAGTCAGTTCTGCGGCAGGGCCCGCTGGGAGCGCGAGTCCTGCGTGTCTATTGGTGGGCTGGAGGGGCGGGGCACGCCTCAGCCAATGCGAGCTCGATGCGGACGAGCGCCTGCCCTGAGCCGCCGCGGAGGCTGCTGGGAGTCGAGCGCTCTCCGGAGCTTCCCGGAAGCGCGATCACTTCGCTATCATGCTGCTCTTCTGCCCGGGCTGTGGCAACGGACTGATCGTGGAGGAGGGCCAGCGCTGTCACCGCTTCGCCTGCAACACCTGTCCCTACGTGCACAACATCACCCGAAAGGTGGGGCGCGCTGTCAGCCAGCGCACACCCACGGCCGCGCTGCCTCTGCCTCTCGCGGGTCCGGGTAGCCCTGCGCCGAGTCAGGTCCCGGGAGTCTGGACCCTTCGGTGGCCTGGGCCACCTCGGAGTCAAAGATAAATTCCGCCTGCTCCTCGGAGTTCGCTTCCCGGTGCCCTCGCTGCCCGACGGTTATTGGTCTCCAGCAGCGCCGGCCCGGAGCGCCTTCCGCACTCGGAGCTGCCGCCGCAGTGCGTTAGCTCGGGTTGGTCTCCCTCCGGGAGATTGGGCCACGCGACTTTGGTAGTCCGGCTGGACCAAACCGTTCTAAGATTGCTGCCCTCTTTTCCAGTTTGCCCTCGGTTTTATGTTTTCCGTGGGACTAATCACCGTACATGCTGAGCCATCGTGCTCACGTGCTTTGATGGTTAATTCGACAACTTCAGCTGCGGGTGGATGGAGGATTTTCTCTGTCTCCCATGTTGCTAGAACCCGGAATGGACTTTGAAGTAGAATAGGCATTTGGTAAAAGAAGTCCGCGTACCTGTCATTCCCAGTTGCTAACCAGAAGGTCTTGAAATGCGCTGTATTATAAGTGGCTAATAGTTTAGTGTTCCCGTGGTAAAACGTTTTGAACACTGTGCTTTTCAAAAGTTGAGTGCGTTGACACTCCCTTATTCCTGGTGTTTGCACACTACTCCACGATTGGGGGAATTTAACGTCCGAAATGGAGAAGAATGGGACTTTAAGTAACTGAAGTTTCCAACTGTAACCTGCTTTGAAAGCTCTTGCCACCTGCGTGGGGAGTGTATGGCTACCCTGTTAAGTGGTAACTGTTTAGTGCTTCCCTGCCTTCCACCCGCTCCCCACCCCCACCCCAGTTTTATTTCGTTTTTGATTCTTTTCCTGGGAGCTCTTACAGATATTCTGACATTCCATAGTTCCATCACCTCCAGCAGTATTGTATAATTGCTTCCACAATCAGTTTCAAAACATTCTTCTTGATACCAGCTCTCCTTTATCCCCTCCTACCCCCATTGGCTGACCTTTTTATCTGTTTCATCTTTGATTAGCAAGTATCTCTGCGGCGAGGTGGGCGAAGAGGAAGGCCGAATCTAACCCAGTTTTCGTACTCATCCTCCCAGACTGACTGCAAAACCCCTTTTTCTCCCCCCAGTGGGCAACCCGATGGGACCCTGTGTATAAGGAGGAAGCCCTGCCTGGTTCTGTGCCCTCCTCACAATTGTTCTTTGATTTGAGTCCATCCGTGGCCTCAGACAAACTGCTGCAGATTCTGTAAGGCCCAGTGGTGTGGCAGAGCTTGTCCTGGGAGGGCAGGAACTTGGTGTAGACAGCCCCACTGCCCGTGGGAAGAAGTAAGTCTGGGCAGACACTGCAGGACCCTGTGGTCTCGGTGGCCCAGGGTTTGTACTAATGACTTCCTTGTCCTGTAGGTGACAACCCGGAAGTACCCCAAGCTGAAAGAGGTGGATGACGTGCTTGGAGGAGCAGCTGCCTGGGAGAATGTAGACTCCACTGCAGGTGAGAGAGCCTTCTCAGGTGCCCAGCAGTACGGAAGCACCAGGCTACCTGGTGGTCTTCCTGGCAAAGACTCCCTCATTGTGACGGGGCTTCAAAGAGTAGAAAACACATACTGTCTTCCTTTAAAAGTGCACTTGTCCCAGCACCTGCTGCTGCCAGCCTCAGCATCATGCAGACCGGGCCAGATTTTCCAGGACCCCTTGCTGTGGGGCCTTGGGGAGCCCCTGGCCTCTGTGGGGCTGATGGCAGCTCATGGGTTGTGCTAGAATGAAATGACTTCTATTGCTGGGATTCCAGAAGCACTTGGCTTACGGTAACTATGGCCATGATAGCAATGTAAGGAGAAACGATGATCTTTCTGCTTAAATATAGAGGGGAGGAAATAGGTTAGCACTTTCTTTTTTCTGCTCATTGGGAAACATCAGATGACTAAATCAAAGAGATGCACTTGTGGAATTTGCCATGTATGCGTGCATACATACACACACGTGCATACACACACACAAACTCGCTTGAGTGGATTTTTTAAAAATCATTTGATTGGGGGCTTGTACAATTCTTATCACAATCCATACATCCATCCATTGTGTCAAGCACATTTTTACATTTGTTGTCATCATCCTCAAAACATTTGCTTTCTACTTGAGCCCTTAATATTAGCTCCTCATTTTCCTCCCTCCCTCCCCACTCCCCACTCCCTCATGAACCCAGTTGAGTGGATTCTGACAGACTCTGACCTTACAGGACAGAGTGGCACCACCCTGCTGTTTACCAAGGGAAGCCTCATTTTTCTCCCACTTGATGATTGGTGATTTTGAACTGCTGTCCTGTGGTTAGCAGCCTCTCACGTCACCCACCGCACCACCAGAGCCATCGAATTAGCCATGGGAAATGGAATGTGCACTGAATGTTCCAGCATTTTGAGAGTGTTGTCCGTTCCTCATAGGATCCCTGGTGGCAAAACGGGGTAGGCACTGAGCTGCTAATGGCAATGGTGAGGTCGGCAGTTTGAAACCCCCAGCCCCCCCCACCCCACAGGAGGAAGACAAGGCTTTCTGCTCCCGTGAAGAGTTACAGTCTGTTACCCACATGGACAATTCTGCCCACCCTGTAGAGTCACTGAGTCGGATGGCCGTGAGTGGAGTGTCATTTTCTCAAAGAAGATGCCTCTGAGGCACTTGTAGGGAATGTGATGTTTGCTGAGCTCCTTAAGAGGAGTGATCTGAGGGCAAGTTGCGCCACTGGATTCTGAACACAATGGGGCAGGGTGGTCGCGGGTTTAGCATAAGGAACCCAGTTAGAAACCTAGAGGGTTGGTGTGGGCCCAGAGTCACTTCCCCTCCTCCCCAACTGGTTTCCATCCAGGCAGGAGCAAAAGGTGGGACCCCGAGAGCCAAGAAGGGTGTTTTCAAGGTCCCAAGGCCCCCTGTCCTCTGGGACTGGAGCACGTGGGAATGATGTCACCGGTAGTGAATTTCATCCTGAGGCCTCTCCGCCCAGGGGAGAGATGCCCTGTTAGGAAGGTCAGGTTAGCAGAGGCCCCTGCCGCCCTCCTTGCCTCCGACCTCCTTCAGATGCTCTGATCCTGAGAAATGATGTGTGTGGGGGGGCATATCTGACCTGTGGTTTTCCCATTGCCACGAGGCAGGTCAGACACGCCTCCACGCTCCCTCCTCCTTTACCTAGTCTCACCCACTCCTTCCCCCCACAGCACTCGACATCCCTGCTGGGCTCCTTAATTCACTGCAGCGGCCACACAAAGCTCTCAGACAGTACTCAGGGTTAAGGGGCTTAGTAGGGAAGTCAGTAGGTTACCACAGTGAGGATCAGGAAACAGTAGGGATACAGTCTTTGACCTCCTCAGCCAGCAGTCAGCTCTCTCCGGTCCTCAGTCTTAGCCGTGTGGTCCCTTGGTCTTTGCCTCCATGGGCCAGGAAGGAAGCCAGCAGCCTGTCGCTCTGTCCCACAGTTCTCTAGTCCGGTGTCCTACAGTCTCTGCACTGCTCCTCTGAACCTGTGAGCCATGGTCTCCGGTGAGTCTGGTCCCGGGGGCCTCGGCCGCTGGGCGTGCTCTTCCAGAATGGCCTTGTGGGTTTTCTCAGTGTCCCAGAGGACTCTCAGGTACTGCAAAGTGGCTCTGATGGAGGTGTGGCTTGCCTTTGAGGAAGGATGGTGTCTTAAGCCTCCTCCTCTGATAAAGTGGTCCTACAGATGCCCCCAAGGAAACAAATGATGTGGGCTTGGCTCACACTCTCTGCAAATGTCAGGCCCTAGCCCCACCTCACTCGTGTAGTGGAGAACTCCGTCCAGTGTGGGCTCACAGCCACAGGTCTGGAGCCTAGTCATAATCCATCGCATACAGAGTGATGGAAGCTCTTGGAGGGGCCGTGTCTCACTGGGTTACTAGTGTGTTTTTCTTATTGCCAGAGCCGTGTCCCAAATGTGAGCACCCCCGAGCCTACTTCATGCAGCTGCAGACCCGCTCCGCCGATGAGCCGATGACCACCTTCTACAAGTGCTGCAATGCCCAGTGTGGGCACCGCTGGAGGGACTAAGGCCAGGCTGGTCCGGCAGCAGCCCCGTCTGCTCTTGTGTGGCCCCATGGACCCATGGTCTTGGGCCTGAAGGCACACAGACCCTCTAGGGGTGAAGAGACTGGGCGTGAGGACATGCAGCCCATGTGCAGTCAGGGTGGGCGACTTCATTTCGTCCAGAGAGTTCTTGTTGCACGAGCGGACACCCGCCACTACGTCTGCCATGTGTAAGGTCTGGGCAGCTGACTCCTTCCTTCGCCGCTGTCTGGGCTCGTCAGTGTCCATACTGTCCGTGCAAATCGGAAAGCGGAGCCCTCAGCCTAGAACCTGACATCTGCCTCCACCGCGAAGCGTTCCTTGGGAACCTGTTTAATAAAGATGTAGTCTGAATATTAATGTTTTTATTCTTGTTGTTCTATTTTTAAAAACATGGGGTTTAAGGCCTGCCTTCCAAATTGCCCCTGGTTGAGTTTGCAGCACCAGCCTCCTGCCTCATGTGCAGTGCTTAACTGCTTGTGCCACCAGGGACACTGATTTGGGTGATAGGACTGTTAAATATCGTAGGCTTTAAAACACATTAAGAGTTAGATTTAATTAGGTTGTTTTATTTTAATTTGATCGTGCTTTGTTTGTTTTTTAAATTTAATTTGATAGTTCTTTACTTCTGTTTCCATTTCCTCTAAAGATGACGCCACCTCAGGACAGTGGGGAAAGTGGATGTTCTTCAGGGCACCAGACTGATGTATTTTACAAATGTGAATCTCTCCAACGATGGAGCCTTGATTATTAAATCGCAGGGCTCCGTCTGCCCATGAGTCTCACTTCTGTAAACCTCTGCGTGGAGCAGGGCTCAGACAGGCCCCCGCCCTCCATCCCCACCCTGCCCACGACACTCTGCTTCTTTACCGGACTCAGAAGTCCGTCACGGTGCCACAGGGCTCGGGTCACAGCTCATGGTTACCGGGGGTTTATTAGGGAAGTTAACAGTACAGTCTTTAGTCCACAACAGTGACTCTTCGCAGCTGGTAACCAAGTCTCTCTGGTCCTCAGCCTCAGCCACGTGGTCTCGTGGCCTCTGCCTCCGTGGGTCAGGAAGCACGCCTGCCACACGGCCCATAGTCTGCGCTGCACCCGGCTCTGCCTCACCGTCTCCTTGCCTCGGCCTCTGGTCTCAGCCTGGCTCCTTGGCTCTGCCCCGTGGTCTCTGCCACAGGCTCTGGTGCAGTGGTTCTCAACCTTCCTAATGCTGTGAGTGACCCTTTCATACAGTTCCTCATGTTGTGACTCTCCCCAGCCCTAAAATAGTTTTCATTGCTACTTAGTAACTGATTTTGCTACTGTTATGAATCGGGCAACCCCTGTGAAAAGGTCATTCAACCCCCCACCCCCAAAGGGGTCACAACCCACAGGTTGAGAACCGCTGCTCTGGTGCCTTGACTGCTGCTTCAGACAGAGAAGTGTGACCCACTGTTGGCTCTTATTCCAAAGGTCCTGGGATTTCTCTGTGTCCTAGATGGAGCTTCCACACGAGGAATGGCTTTGAAGGAGATGGGCTTTTGTCAGCTGACCACACCCCTAAGGAAACAAAGGGGGGAAGACTTAGCCGTACCCTCTTCTAAGGTGGAAATTGAACCCCACTTTAATCTTGTCATAAGCATAGCAGAGAATTCCCTCCCAAATGGGATTATAGCTGTAGGCATAAAGGCTAGAATTTGTAGCACATCACACAGGATTATGGGTAGACGGGTCCTACAATTGACTGCATCTGTCTCTATGTAGAACTGATGTGGTCCTTCCGTGCAGCTTGATAGTTGTTTGTTCGAACACATTGACCAGGTGGTAGGTCTTTCCCCCCAAATCTCCATTCCCAAGTCTCTGATGCTTTCAGCTGAGGCCAGTGAGTATATAAGGTGTCAGCTTCTGGTGTTTGAATTTGTTGTTGGGCGGTGGCATGGACAGGTGTGACACGCAGACCCTCCAGCCAGCCTGCCTGCCTGTGCCTTACCTCAAATCCCTTACCTTCCTTTCTTCAACTGTAGACTGGGGACAGTAAATGTATTTCAGAGGTTTGCCCACTTGTGGAAGGGGCCAGGTAGTGATTGTGCTGACAGTGGGGCAAATGGGGCCTCTGGGAGAAAACCAGCCTTCCCACCATGTTGATTGACAGAATTCAACAGGTAGCAGTAATGAACGAACGTACCCCTCGTGAGCATGTCGATTATTGAGCGTGGATGGTATTTTGATTAATTGGGGTTCAAAGTTCAAGGACGACTGGCGACATGGGGGTCAGAGGTCGGGTTATCACTGGAGAGGCGGCAGTTCAGCCCCACCAGCTGCTCTCCAAGAGCGAGTTGAGGCAGCGTGCACCCACAGGATTTTACAGCTCCAGCAGCCCTACAGAGCAATTCTACTCCCCATGGGGTTGATGGGAGTCAGAACCCACCCACTGCGGGCCGTGCCATCGAATCCGTTGCAAAGATTCACGCGAGTGCTAGTTCCATTCCGGGAAGCCCCGGGAAGTGCGAGTGGGGGTGGCCCTTGACCTTGTTGATTGAGTGGCCACACATGGGAGCCTCCGATGTCTCTGCAGAGTCCCTGTGGGTGAGCGGGGACAGTGGAAAACCACAGAGGTTACCCAGAGATCGGCTTCACAAGTTTCGTGACTTTGACCCTAAGTCCTGTACAGCTTCATGCATACTTTTACCACCAGGGATCAAAACATATGATCTGTGGATTCTACATCCACCGGCTGTGAGGATTAGGTTTCTGCAATGGCTTTTAAATGTGCCCACCTGGAGTTAGTGGGGACCCCCGGTGGCATAGTGGTTGCTTGCCAGGCAAGGTCGCCATAAATAGCCTTCCTTGGCTGGCTAACAAGCGAGTCCTTCAGAAACGTGAGTGCCTTATGGCCTGGCTTTCCATCAGTTCCCGCCGCAGCCAGGGCTCTGCTTCCCGGGCACTGATTGGTCTGACTCGTTTCTCTGCGAGTTGGGGCTGGTCTGGGAACGTGCATTCAGCACAGCCCTGGGTGCCTGGGGTTTCGAAACCCACTCCCTGGGCTTGCTGTGCCGACACCGCACACACTGCCATCAAAGCCGTCACAGTGCAGAGGGGCGAGCCGTTTGTCGTTCGCAGCTCTCGCTCCAGGAGGAGGGACTTGGAGGCCACGCCTGTCCGTGGTCAGTCCTGCGCACGGACATGGGAATTTCATGGCTTAAGTGTCACGGAATTTCACGCTTGGACACATCTTTGAAAGCTGCGGAAGGACACAAAGCTGTCCGGACGATCTGTGCAGAGGTGCGGGTGTGCAGGCTCCCCCGGGGGCCGTGCGGGTGTGCAGGCTCCCCCGGGGCTGCTTTCTGGGGAGGGGGTGCTGGCTCCTGGCTGTGCGCTTGTGGTACTTGAGCCCCACCCCCTGTCCCTGTCCCATCCCGACCGATGATCTCTGAATCTGATTTCTACTTCGCTCCTGTGGGCAGCCGGGTGGGTGTCGCCAGGGCGGGCCTCCCTTGGGTTTCCTGGGGCTTTGGCTGACTTTGCAGTTAGCAGCGCAGCTGGTAATGGCTGCGGCCCTGTGCTCCTCACAGGCACCAAGCCTGTCCGATGGAGTGCGACAGACATGGGCCCCCTGGGACAGAGCAGACGGTCCCTCAGGGGTCGCGACTCCTTTGGGGGTCGAACGACCCTTTTACAGGGGTCGCCTAAGACCATCGGAAAACAGATATTTCCCATAATCTTAGGAACCGAGACACCACTCCTCTATCTGTCTCCAGGCGGGTCCGCCTACATGCGGATAAGCCCACACAGGACTACCCTGCGTGAAGACTGTTATCCATGCTACACCAAGCTTCAAGACAAAATCTCATTTATTTGTAATTAATAATAACTTTCACAATATAGAATTACATATTGTTTTTTGTGATTCATCACTATGCTTTAATGATGTTCAATTTGTAGCAATGAAAATACATCCTGCCTATCAGATATTTACATGATGATGCATAACAGTAGCAAAATTACAGTTGTGAAGTAGCAATGAAAATAATTTTATGGTTGGGGTCACCACCACATGAGGAACTGTATGAAAGGGCCAAGGTGTTAAGAAGATTGAGAACCACTGCCCTACAGGAACAAGCAGTCTCATCTCTTCTCATTGAAGCAGCTGGGGGGCTTGAACCATGAACCTTTCCTTCACAGCGCACATACACAGATAGACTGAAATGTGCCCTTATTTGGTAGGACAGAGCACAGGCAGTCAATGCCGGCAAGGGTTCTGATCCTCACTAGCTCTCAAAAAACCACACCGAGCTCACCATCAGTACTGACTGAAGGAAATGCAAATTAAAGCAACATTGAAATAGCTTCACCTATCAGATTGCCAAAGATGGACCAGGCTGATAAGTTGCAAAGGGTGGGGCTAGCAGGGGGACAACTTTGGAGGGCATTTGGCAGTGTGGACCAGCAGCAAGTGCTGGCCTGGGAAGCCATGGGCAGCATGGGCCTGTAGGCGTGGGGTGCTTCCTGCTCACAGGTCAGCACTGCCTCTGGGTGATGTGAAAGAGGGCTTCCACGAGGCTCTCCCAATTTCTTTTGTGTTCAGTACGCCTATTCTGCCTGGACTCCCAGTCTCCCTTAAAGGCCGAGGTTTGCATTTGCTGGGAGGGGGCAGCTCCCTGACAGCCTGCAGCCTCACTGGCCTCAGGGCCCTGTGGTGGCGGCTTGAGGTAGCTTGTGGTTTCCATGTGGGCGGTGTGTCCGTCTTTAGCAGGCTTGTGTCAGCGCTGCAGTACTGGTCCCCAGCCAGGCGAGGGGCTTTGCTGTCACCAGGCTGACCGTGCCACAGCCTCCAGCTCCCAGAGCACGATGACCCAGGTCCGGAGCCTCCAGGGAGGTGAGTGTGCTAATGGCTGGCCAGCCAGCCGGCCGCAAATTCAGGGCTCCAGACTCGCTCGGGGTCTAAGGTGGCCGAAGGTGCCCTTGCAAAGAGGTGGGTGTTGCCCCGCTCACCAGCAAAGTCCTGAGCCATTGTCCTCCAGCTATGTAGTCTGAGGCATGCTCTGCTGGGGCCCAAGGGCCAGGGTTTCTAGCATCGAAGCAGCAGCTACCTGTATGGCCAAGATGACCGTGGGGAGGAGGGCAGCTGGGCTTTCCTGGGCTGGAGCAGGAGGCTTGGGAGTGGGCTCTGCCAGGGCAGCAGGGAAGCAGATGTGGCTGAGTGCACCCGCTCAGGGGGTCCCTGTGGGACCCTCCCCCGGAGGCAGCCCTTGCCCTCCAACACTCGGATTCCACCTGTGCCCAGCCTGGCCTGGCTCTTCCTCACACCCGTGCCCCTGAGTGGAAGAGCTGTGCGTGGAGCAAGGCCAGCTGTGAGGACTGCCTGACCCATCCCAGGCTGGGTGGCCAGCCCCAGCTCGGAGTTGTGGAGGGAGACAGCTCTGAGAAGGGACTCACTGGCCACAGGGGGCGGCAGAACCACAGAGGAGATGTCCCGAGGATGGACACCGCTTCCCTCTGCACCACAGCCGGCCTGTGACCTGGGTTGTCCTCTCCAGGGGCAGGACCCTCTGACCTTATCTGGCGACTTGCTGGACTGACAGTGCATGGGTGGGGGCATCTGTGGTCAAGGGTCAGGGTGGCCCTGCCTTGGAAATGCCCCTTCCCAGTGTGCAAGGGACTCTGAGGAGAGGGAGGCTGGGGCCAGCGTACAGCTTCACCTGAGAGCTATCTTTCATGTTTCCATAGCCATCCTGTCCCCCAAGGGGCACTCAACCCTGTGACGGTCGTTGTGAGGCCAAAGGGGACAGGGGTCTAGCTGCCTTCAGCCCTGGCTGGCCTGAGTCTCTCCATCTGAGTGGGGCTTCACAGTGATGTGGACAGACATGAAGTGGGCGACCTCGAGGCTGGGAGGTGGCCTGGCGGGGACCCTGCAGACCTGGATGCCTGGGGCTGGGACAGCTCTCTGCAAGGGGGCACTGTGTTCCAGCTGCCCTCATGCTCCCCAGAGCTGGCCAGGACACCAGCCTTTCAACCCAGCAAGATGGGTGAAGAGAATGCTGGGAACCTCCTGGGGTCTGCCCTGGGGGCAGGTAGACCAGCTAGCAGGGTGGGGGGGGGTGGCTTCAAGGGAGTGCCCTGCTTAAAGCACTGAGAACTTCTGGTGGGACCTGCACGCACAGGACCACTTCCTCCACCCTTATCAAGCATCAGGCTTGCGCAACTAACTGGTGCCTGTCTTCCTGCTGGGCCCTTATCAGTGCTCCATCTGGGTACTAGGCAGCCTCCCGGCACCTCAGCATTTCCTGACACCCAGTCTGGTTCCAGGGCCTGAGGGGGTGGGCTCTCTGCAGGGCACAGCAGAGCAGGGCTGGGAGAACCCCGGACAGTATGTTGCATAAGCCTCCTGCTGCGTACCCTCTCACTTTCCTGGGGTTGGTTTTTACTGAAGGGAAGTATGTGTGTGTGTGTGCCGGTATGCACACAGTGTGTGTGGTGTGTAAGTCCCGTGTGTATGCTCGTGTGTGTGCAATGTGCACTGCTATGTGTGTGCAGGTGTGCATGCGGTGTGCAGTGTGTGTGTGTAGGTATGTGGCGTGTCATGTGTGTATGTGCACACGTGCAAGCATGCATGTTGTGGGTGTGGAGTGGGGGTATCCCATGTGCATGTGTATGTGAGTGCATGTGTCTGCATGTCTGTGTGTGCTTGGTGTGCGTTGGTGTGGGGGGTGGAGGGGAGCTGGGTGGACCTGCCCCTTGGGTGAGGGTCCTCCCACGGCTGCTGTGAGGATCACAATGGGAGACGTCGGCTTGAGATGGGGCACCGGGAGCTGTGTGAGCGGCCCTGAGAATTATCCTCAGCAAGGCCCCTGTCCTGCCGCTGCTGCAGGGTGGGCCTGGGCTGGACAGGGCCCTGCTCAGGAGACATGAGACCAGGGTCCAGGGCCGCCTAAAAGTGTCGGAGCTTGAGTCTGGAACATCAGGTGATTTCAGCTCCTCAGGGTGCAACAGGAATGGGGCCCGCCTAACTGAGACAACCACTCTGAGCTCCAGTGGAGAGCTCTCAGGACCATGTCTTCTGGGAGAGCACCCCACTCTATAGAGGAGCACCCCAAGTGGACTGCACCTCCTAGGGGAACACCTCCTAGGAGGCATTTCCTGGGGAACACTTCTGGGGAGCACTTCTTGGGGAGTACACTCATGGGCAGGGTCTCTTGCAGGCTGGACCTCAGAGGACAAGGCCCTGGTATGGGCAGTGTGCACCTGGCTCCTGGTAGGCACCTGTGCCTGCTGGGGCACTTCACTCCCAGGTGAGGGCCAGCTTCTCGGTGGCGGGCGCTCATCTGTCTGGACTGTGGGGGGGCCTTTGCACCACCTCTGTGTGGTCTTCCCAGGGGCTGACATGCCCAGGTGAGGGGCTGGAGCCCACCATCCCTCAGCCCAGCCTATGGAGAATTCTCCGGGGTTATTTCCTGGGGCCACCCCTTTAGTGGGTCAGCTGCCAGTCTCCCAGCCCTGCCACCACCTGTCCGTCACTGTCCCAGGCCCCGGGAATGTCACCTGCCTTAATAATAACATCCTCCGAATTGACTGCTACTGGTCAGGCCCGGAGCTGGGCCACGATGCAGACCCCTGGCTCCTTCTCACCAGGTGAGGGGAAGGGCCGCCCGGGGTGAGGGTGGGGTCCCCCCAAGGAGGCACTGACAGGAGTCCCTTCCGCCAGCCACCAAGTTCCAGGCGGGAGACACAGGTGTACCTTCCGGGCCGGCCTCTGCTCTGTGGAGCTGCCCCCAGAGGAGGTGCTGGTGCCCACCGACAGTTTCTCCATCACGCTGCACCTCTGCATTGCTGGGCAGGAGCGTGCCAGCTTGGTGGAGCCACAGTACCTGCCCCGGAGACACAGTGAGTGGGGTACTTGGACCCAAAGGGTACCCCCAGTCCTGACCAGTGAGACCCAGGTCCAGGGGGGTCCTGGGCTGCAGCCCATGCATCTCCTTCTGTTCCAGTCAAGCTGGACCCGCCCTCTGGGCTGCAGAGCAACGCCAGCTCTGACTACTGCCTGCTGACCTGGAGAGTCAACCCTGCCCTCGAGCCCCTGGAGGCATTCCTGGCCTACGAGCTGGCCTTCAAGAGGCAGGAGGAGCCCTGGCAGGTCAGGCTTGGCCACTCCCTCTGGCAGACAGCCCACACACGCCAGAAGTCAGTGTGGAGTGGGAGGATCTGGCACGAGGGCAAGAGTGGGCGCTCCCTGTGGGACTGCCCATGCAGGTGTGGGTGTTTGTGTGCCCACAGCCCTGTCTATGAGCTTGTATGTGCGTGTGTGTGCACATGAAGATCATAGGTGTGTGTGTGTGCCTGCGTGTGCATGCTTGTGCCCCCCTCCAGGGTAGACCCCCAGTCCTTCCAGCACTTTCTACCTGCCTCGATTCCACAGAGGGCCCGCCACAAGGACAGAATTGTTGGGGTGTCCCGGCTAGTGCTGGAAGCCGCAGAGCTGGCCCCTGGTTCCCCCCATGAGGCCAGGCTGCGGGTGCGGATGGTTCAGGAGGAGGACATGCCAGAGGATGAGCGTTATGAGGGCACCTGGAGCGAGTGGAGCCTGCCCGTGCACTTCGCTACTCCCCAGAGACCAGGTGGGGTGGCCCCTGCTGATCCCGTCAACCAGAGGCCCCTCCCTGAGGCAGCTACCCCAGTTCACTACCTGCCGCAAGTTGCAGGACCCAGTAGTGCCCACAAGTGAGTTAGGTTGGGTAGGGGGAAGAGTCCTTGGCACTGGAAGCTGGGCAGAACCTTGAGGGATGGCTGGGCCCACCCATGTACACGAGGTGCTGGGAGGTCTGACCCTAATAACCAAATACAGGTGGGGAAACAGGTTGGGGTCATTTACCAGGCAAGACCCCAGGCCTCCTAAATCCTGTGCCCTAGGCCCAGAGCACTGACGGGGATGCAGAGGGGGGAGGAGGAAGGAGGAGGAGGACCACCCTTCCGCTTCTCATGGCCCTGCCCCACTGCTCACAGAGCCCTGGACACCCCCCTGGGGGCAGCCTGACCGCTCGCTTGTGGCTGTGCCCTTCTTTCTGCTGCTGATTGGCCTGTCTTACCTCTCATTCAAGCTGCTGCCCAGGTGTGCGGGGGTGCACGGGGATGTGGGGGGGCTGAGGGCCAGACCTGCAAGCTCTGGATGTTCCTCCATGCCCCTGTCCACTCTGGTCCTCGGTAGGACTGAGCCAGCTGGGAGTCCCTCGATGCCAGAGGACAGGGTGGCTTCTGCTACTGCCCTGGAGCCTGTGGATGACCTCAGAGTCCCTGGCTGAGCTACTTGGGTCCCCGCCTCCCGGTTACTCCCCTTAGGGTGAACCCCAGTTCACCTCTATGTGAAAACCATGGGGGGCACTTGATGCGTGCCAGGCCCCTCTCTCAGACCATGGGTGGCAGATGGGGGCGGTGCTGACCACAGAGCAAGACACAGTGGGCTCTTCTCCAGTGTGTGCTGATTGGACCACAGCACATGAGGGGCCAGGGGTAGGAGGTGGTGGGCAAGGCAGGCACCCTGTACACAAGGACAGGGCAAGAGGAGGCGGGATAGCTGGGCAGAGCAAGCAGGTGTTTGGGGAGAGGGGAACCAGGGATCCTGGCTCCAGGGTGGGGATGGCCCTTGGAGCAAAGAAGATGCTAGAAGGTTAGTTAAGCAATGGGTCTCCTCTGAGCACAGGGTAGAACCACCAGGGCAGGTGTTTGGGTTTGGGCTGGCCTGGGAATGGAGGGAGTGCAGAGCCTGGGAAAGAGTGGTGGGCCCAAGGGGGGTGGGCGGGGCTGGAGGAGCTGGGGTAGTGGTGGGGTGATGGGTGGTGGTGGGTAGTGGCTGGTGGTGGGTGGTGATGGTGGTGGGTGGTGGGTGGTGGTGGGTAGTGGATGGTGGTGGATGGTGATGGTGGATGGTGGGTGGTGGTGGGTAGTGGATGGTGGTGGATGGTGATGGTGGATGGTGGGTGGTGGTGGGTAGTGGATGGTGGTGGATGGTGATGGTGGATGGTGGGTGGTGGTGGGTAGTGGATGGTGGTGGATGGTACTAGTGGTGGATGGTGGTGGTGGTGGGTGGTGATGGTGGGTGGTGGTGGTGGTGGGGTGGTGGGGTGGGTAAGGCTTGATTTGGAGGGGTGGGATGGAGACCCCATCCAGTAGGGCAGTAGGCTGTAGTGGTCACTCCCTCCCTAGTTCCCTCAGGGCCTCACTATAAAGGCACATGCCCAGTGTAAACCAGGTTTGTGAGTTGTCCGTAGAGACCCCGAGGTGGACACAGCAAAAGGGCAGCAGGGTGGTCAGAAGGCGCCCCTGGTTCCGGGTTGACTGCCTTCTCTTGGCACAGGGTGAAGCAGGCCTGCCACCAGCACGTGCCCTCTCCAGCTGTGTTCTTCCAGCCCCTCTACACCGAGCACCACGGGAACTTCCAGGTGCGTGCGTGCAGGGCCTGTCCCGAGGGTTAGAGGCTCAGGATGTGGGCGCCGCTTAGAGCTTTTTTGGTCATTTTTGGGGGGTTGAAATTCATGCAGAGTCTAATGCTCAGAGGAGCTTTCTGCATTTCCTATTTCTATCTATCTGTCCGATCCCTCCCTACACTCCCCTCTCCTCTGGTTCAAGGCAGCCCTGTGGGTAGTGGTCAGTCAAAGTGGGGACCATTTGGGGCTGACTCTTCCGGTGTGGCCTTCACCATACTCCTTGAGGCGTTTGTCCTGCCGCCACTGGGAGGGGGAGGAGTGTCAGGGGCCGGTGGTGGTGGTGGGGCCAGTGTGGCCTTAGCTCATGAGCAGAGGGGGCAGCACTGTCCCTGAGGACCCTCATCCCTTCATGGCGAGCCATCAGACACAGAGGGTTCCAGCCCCAGGATGGGGGTCTGTGGAGGTCAAGACAGCTCCCCCAGGTGGCTCCTGCCTCCATGTGGGCCAGGGGAGGGTCAAGGGTCCTCAGTCTCCACACCTGTCACCTCGCACACCAGGCTTACTCAGCAGGGGGCCCATGGGTGCACAGTGTCAGCCCAGCCATGAAGGGCTGGGGGACTTGCGTTCCGGGCAGAGTCTGGTTTAACATAAGGGGCGGGAGTGCCCTGTCAGTCTTGGGTGAGGTGGGGGACTCCCTACAGGAGGAGCCACCCCTGATCTGTCCCAGCAGAGCACCCAGCCTGAGTCCCTCCCACCCTACTCTCTTGCAGACCTGGACAGGGACTCACAGGGTGGGACTGCAGCTTGGCCAAGCGGATATCAGTGCCCAGCCTGCCGCCCCAGAGCCGGGCTGCCGGGAGGCTGTGGCCCTGCTCACCTGCAGCCCGGCGTGGCCCTGTCTCTGCTTGGAGGAGAAGTGTCCACCTGCTCTGGGCTCAGAGGACATGTGGCCCACAGGGGTCCTGGAGTGGGGAGACCAGCCGCCTGCCTACCTGCCACAGGAGGAATGGGCTCCAGTGCCCCCCACCAGGCCAGGCCCCCCAGACTCAGACTGGAGTTACAGTGACTACTGTGCCCTGGGGTGCCATGAGGAGGGCCACCCCTCAACACCCTTAGGACACACCCAGAGCCTAGTGACCGCTCCTGCTTTGACTTGTGGCTTTTCCTGGCACCAAGGGGACTTGGGGCCTCAGCACGGGGCCTCCTGTATAGAAGCTGGTCATCTTCCGAACCAGGGTCCCAGCGAAGGGCTGCTTTCTGCCTAAGTCCTTTCTGCCAGCAGCAGACAGCAGGCCTGGCCTCTTCCATGGGGATAGGCCAGCACTGCGCCCTCTGCTCACACCTGCTGGGAGGGGCCACTGCCAGGTGTCTCCCAGCCTGTGCTGCCCCCACCCTTGAAGGGTCAGCTCAGTGACCATAGGTTCAAGGCCCTGTTGCTTCAGGTCTTCAGCTTTCCTGAGATTAAAAATCACAGTGCCTGCCCCAAACTGCCTGTGGTTGGAAGGAGAGACCAGGGGAGGGACAGGGGTCCTGGGGGAGGTGTGTCTGGGTGGGGGTGGGGGAGTGGGACGGTCACTGGCTGGCTCTAAGGGGGAGCCCTCCTGTACCTTGTCCTCTTTCCTCGGTGGTCTCACCCAGGCCCAGCAGCAAGTGGACAGCAGTGGAAGTCCAGGTCCTTGTCTGCAGCCCAGGGCTCCTGAGGCGGGGCTGGGCTGGCAGGCAGCTCAGGAGCTCCCTGCTGGGCAGCGGGTGGAGGCTTAGTTTCCCTTCTAGGGAGGTGCTGGGCCTGGGAACTGAAGGGAGCTGGGCCTATCTGTACTGCAGAAGCCTTGGGCTCAGTGGGGGTGGCACAGGTTCCCAGAATGTATCTTTAGGGGGCAGAGGCAGGGAAGGGTGGGGTCAGAAATGTGTTGACCAAATCTAAAACACTTGCGAAGAATTGCTTTTCGTGGGCTATGGGGAAGCCCCAGGAGGGTGTATTTATAGCAGCCCCACCCACCCAATAATAACAGCCCTTCTGCGGCCACGGTGGGACACACGTTTTTCTGACCACAAACTTCCCTTGACTGCCCGTGGGAGCTTTGGACCCCCCACTTGGGGGCTGTGTGTGGAGGCGGGGCCTAGGCGAGTGACGGGGTGGGACAGGACCAGAAGGGACTGTGTCCAGCCTGGCTGCATTGTGGAGGGACGTGGACTTCACTGCTGAGGGCATGCTCCGGCAGGTTCTTCTCATCTTTTGATTTTCATGAAGGTGAAAACCCTTTAGTGAGCCTAGTTCATGGGGGTTCTGTGGGTTCTCCCGCCCCAGCCTCCGGTAACCATGGAGACACATTCCCCGCAGTCTGTCCGGAGAGATATAAACGGAGTTGCAATATTTTGTCTTTCTGTCTGATGTCCTTCACTTTGCCTTGTGCTTTGTAGTGTCACCCAGTTGGGGCCCCAATTGGAGTGTCCCTTCTCTTTGTGGTCCAGACCTGGGTTCTGGTTCAACTGTGGAGTTAGGTCTTAGGGTCCTGGGTTTGTGTTCAGTTTACAGTTTGGGTTTGGGGTGAGGTTAGGTTTCTGATTGTGATTCAAGTTCCGGTTCAGGGTCTTGACTCAGAATTGGGTTCAAGATAGGATTTTATTCCAGTTTAGGGGTATGAGTTAGGGGGTTAAATTCAAACTTGGGTTTGGGCTAGTTTCAGGTTCAAGGTCAGAGTTAGCCGTTAAACTGACCCCAAGCACCAAACTATTGAGCCAAGGCCTGAGGATGCCACAGAAGACAGATTTTGGCCACTGGAGATCCCCTTGCAGAGGGGTGTCGGGGAGGAGAGGAGCCAGTCAGGGTGCGATGTAGCAGCAATGAAAAATACAACTTTCCTCTACTTCCTAAATGTTTCCTCCCCGCTCCCACTATCATGATACGAATTCTACCTTGCAAGTCTGGTTAGACCAGAGGATGTACACTGGTACAGATAGGAACTGGAAATACAGGGAACCCAGGGCGGATGATCCCTTAAGGACCAGTGGTGTGAGTGGCGTTACTGGGAGGGTAGAGGGAGGGTGGGTTGGGAAGAGGGAACCAATTACAAGGAACTATATGTGACCTCCTCCCTGGGGGACGAACAACAGAAAAGTGGGTGAAGGGAGATGTCGGACAGGGCAAGATATAACAAAATAATAATTTATAAATTATCAAGGGCTCATGAGGGAGGGGGGAGCGGGGAGAGGGGAAAAATGAGGACCTAATGCCAGGGGCTTAAGAGGAGAGGAGATGTTTTGAGAATGATGAGGGCAATGAATGTACTAATGCGTTTTACACAATTGATGTATGTATGGATTGTGATAAGAGTTATATGAGCCCCTAATAAAATGATTAGGAAATAAAAAAGAGAGGCCTTGGATGGACAACTCACACGGCAAACTTGGGGGTTGGTTCCCCACAGATCTCCCAGGTGACACAGGGGCTGGCGGGTGTACCCTCTTTTGTTCCCTGCCCTCTGGGGACAGGTATAGCAATGCGGTTGGGCAGGCCCCAGATGAATGCACACACTTCACAGTACCCCAAACAGTGAGGGAATGTCCCCGGTCTAGAAGAAGGAGCTGCACAGAGGAAGGCTCTGTGTCCAGCATCATTATCAGCGAATGTTCCTGCCCCAGCTCATGACCAGGCCCAGGTGTGCATGGAGAGGCCAGGTGGCAGATGGTACTTTCCTGGAAGTCAGTGCTGGGGCTTCCAGAGAGAAGCATTAGAGCGCTGGCCCAGTACTGGGGATGCGACCTCATTTGGGAATAAGCTTCTCTTTGTCGTGCACATCCAGCCATACAGTGTCCAGAGGGTCCTCACCGGAACCTCTGCCGACGATTCCAGAGACACTGATGCCACGCAAGAGCTGACTACGAGGGTCACCAGGAGGCACCAGAAACCAGAGGAGGAAGCAACACTCTGAGGCCCTGATCTACAATTGTGAGAAAACGAACCGTGTTTTCCCGGCCACCACTGTGGTGTCTCTGTGACGGCCACGCAAAGGCACGACGCAGCTCTGATGACAGAGTTGGGCGCTGCTCCCACAGACACCTAAGTAGTTTCCAGACTCGGAGAGAAACGAGGAAAAAGACCTGGTGCTGGACTTGTAAAAATTAGGCAGTGGCTCAGTCAGACGCGGCCCCGAGACGCTTCTGGAAGATCCATCACGATGGCCGCCCAAGGAGAACCCCAAGTCCAGTTCAAAATCGTACTGGTGGGTGATGGTGGTACTGGAAAAACGACATTTGTGAAACGTCACCTGACTGGTGAATTTGAGAAGTATGTAGCTACCTTAGGCGCTGAGGTCCATCCCCTTGTGTTCCATACTAACAGAGGACCTATTAAATTCAACGTGTGGGATACAGCTGGTCAAGAAAAATTTGGAGGACTGAGAGATGACTATTATATTCAAGCCCAGTGTGTCATTATAATGTTCGACGTAACCTCAAGGGTTACAAGAATGTGCCTAACTGGCATAGGGATCTGGTTCGAGTATGTGAAAACATACCCATCGTGCTGTGTGGCAACAGAGCGGATATTAAGGACAGGAAAGTTAAGGCAAAATCCATTGTCTTCCACCGAAAGAAGAGCCTTCAGTACTATGGCATTTTTGCCAAAAGTCACTACCACTTTGACAAGCCCTTCCTTTGGCTTGCTAGAAAACTCATTGGCGATCCTAACTTGGAGTTTGTGGCCATGCCTGCTCCTGCCCCACCAGAGGTTGTTATGGACCCAGCTCTGGCAGCCCAGTATGAGCATGATTCAGAGGCTGCGCAGACAACCACTCTCCCGGATGAAGATGATGACCTGTGAGAGAACAAAGCTGGAGCCCAGCGTCAGAAGTCTAGTTTTATAGGCAACTGCCCTGTGATGTCAGTGGTGCAGCGTGTTTGCCACTCTTATTATATAGCTAAGCAGAATGTGCTAATCTTTGGGATGCTGAAGGAGATGAATGGGCTTCGGAGTGAGTGTAGCAGTTAAAAACCTCTCTCTTTTTTTTTTTGGACCCACATATCTAGCTGTTTGGGAACGCATTTTTCTTTCTTGAAATTCAAATGCAAGACTGCTACAGTCACATCACAATATTCAATGTGACGTTTTGTTTGTTAACTGTCATTCCCAGTCCTTTTCGTTAGAATAAAGTTGTATTTCAAATATCTAAAAAAAAAAAAAAAAATTAGGCAGTGAAACAGTCCGTGGGTCACAACACAGTATTGTCTAATTTAGTGCTGGGAGAGCTGAGTCTGAGCAGACAAGTCATCAAGCCAATCAATCGATGATTAACTAACTGACCAATTAAATCAGGCAGTCAACTAATCAATCAAACCAATTAACCCACTATTCAATTAGGTTGATATGAGTATTTAAGCAAGCAGTTAAATCTTTCAGCCAAACACAAAACTCTAAATAAAAATATTTAACACAGATAAAATATAAGATATAACAAACTAAGTGTAAATAATAAAAAGAAGTAGCATGTGGTAACCAAATGGCAAAATAAATTTTAAAATAAATTATTTCATTTACTTAATATATACAATTATGTATTTAAATTTAAGTTAGTATTTACATGCAAATTATTTTAGTTACTATTTTAAAATTGTGTTTAATAATATACTTTACTAAGAATTAAATATATTTATCTCATATGCACATAAACCTAAATATATGTAGTATATAATATCCATTTATAAATATTAATAAAGTAACGTATATCTAGTGTATTTTGTTGTATTAATATTTAATTTTATTTAATACTTTATTTTGCTCTCTACTATAAAAGACCATAACTTAATTTTGTGTTATATATTTTTCTTTATATTAATTTTCTATCTTATTTTAGATAAACTGTAATTGATGTTCATTTTACATATTAATTTTATTTCATTTTTGATATAGTTTCATTATATTGACTTATTGTTTAATTTGATTGCACCATATACAATATTTATTTATCATAATCTAGTGTTAGTAATTTAACTTAGTTTGCCATATTATTATATACTTATTATAAATATACTTATACATTTTATAAATATACTTACTATATTTATAATATTGTATTTCATTTATTGAAAAGGAAGTTAATTAAAAAAGAAAAGAAAGTTAATTAGAATTATTTTGTATTTTAATTTGATTTTATATATAATTTGGGGTTTTGTTTTGTATTATTTTATTTTTTTTAATGATTTGATATTTAATTTTATTTAGTGTTTTGATTTCTTTAGGTTTCTTTTACTGAATATAATGCTTAGT